TCATAATTCTGAGATAAAAAGTCTTAATGATGACGAATCTTTTTCTCAATGACTTACAATGTCAACTTTGAATTTGAAATAAGTTGACCTTATGACATTAATGACATACTGTGTCAATTATGACTTAGTATTGTATAATTTTGACATTACATTTCAACTTGTGTCATAATTATGATTTACCAAAGTATTACTATTTTATGTCGCAGAAATGGGCCTTAAACATTCTAGGACCATTAAGATTCTTTGCATCTTCATAAATCATATTTCCACCAAAACTCTCATATGTTTAATGTGTCAAGGCAACTTGAATTTTTGTTTGTTTTTTTGGTAATTCTCATAATTGTCAATGGTGAATCTCATTACTAATATAGACATTTTTAAATCAGGATAAAGGCAGAACAACATTACTATGTAACTATTTTACACTTTAAATGAAATACCAGTTTTCTGCTTTGCAATAATGAGAATGGAGAAAGGAAACATTTAATTGTCATACCTGATGTCACAATACAAAAAATGCAATGGTCTAAAATAGATTTCTTTTTTTAGCGCATATTTTATGAGATCATATATCATAAAATATGATCTAGACATTGAGTTTTGTGAGATTCCTCCAGTTAAGAGACAAAGGTTCCCCACCAGCTCCATCTGTAGCCTCTCCTACTTCATTGAAAAGAGACAGAGAGAGGAGGGGGACTCAGACAGCCGAATGCTTTTATAATATTTGTACACTCCAGTATCTGTGGAGCATAGTGAAGCGAGAGCAGGTGCAGGGTGATAAACCCAGAAACAGCAGGGTAAGGGAGGCTTGAATGTAGTGTGCCGGACCTGGTGGGTAAAGGCATATGATGAGCTATGATCAGTCAAATGAAATGAGCTGAGCCTCTGCACTGCCCGGAGGAGCCTGCGCCGGCTGCTGTTGTGATTGCTGCTGCGGACCGCCAGGGGGAGCCATCTGTTTAAAAACATGAGACGACAACATAATTCAGATTAATAAAGTGTAACACTCTCTTTGGAGTGTTACAAGCTGATTGTGCAT